AGGTTACTGCAAAAGCTAGAGGATCAGGCACACATAACAGGAAAGGCACTGCAATTGATCAGAGAATACCTGACAGGGAGGCAACAACGAGTCATGGTACGTGACGAGGTGTCAGAGTGGGCGCCTGTGACAAGCGGGGGTTCCACAGGGGTCAGTCCTAGGACCTGTGCTGTTCTTGGTATATGTGAACGACATAACGGAAGGGATAGACTCAGAAGTGTCCTTGTTTGCAGATGATGTGAAGTTAATGAGAAGAATCAAATCGGATGAGGATCAGGCAGGACCACAAAGTGACCTGGACAGGCTACAAGCCTGGTCCAGCAACTGGCTTCTTGAGTTTAACCCTGCCAAGTGCAAAGTCATGAAGATTGGGGAAGGGCAAAGAAGACCGCAGACACAATATAGTTTAGATGGCCAAAGACTGCAAACCTTATTCAAGGAAAAAGATCTGGGGGTGAGTATAACACCGAGCATATCTCCTGAGGCGCACATCAGTCAGATAACTGCTGCAGCATACGGGCGCCTGGCAAACCTACGGATAGCTTTCCGATGCCTCAGTAAGGATTCGCTCAAGACTCTGTATACCATTTACGTCAGGCCCATACTGGAGTATGCAGCACCAGTTTGTAATCCACACCTAGTCAAGCACGTCAAGAAATTAGAGAAAGTGCAAAGGTTTGCAACAAGACTAGTCCTAGAGCTACGGGGATTGTCCTACGAAGAAAGGTTGAGGGAAATCGGCCTGACGACACTGGAGGACAGGAGGGTCAGGGGAGACATGATAACGACATATAAAATACTGCGCAGAATAGACAAGGTGGACAAAGACAGGATGTTCCAGAGAAGGGACACAGACACAAGAGGTCACAATTGGAAGTTGAAGACTCAGATGAATCAAAGGGATGTTAGGAAGTATTTCTTCAGTCATAGAGTTGTCAGGCCGTCGAATAGCCTAGAAAGTGACGTAGTGGAGGCGGGAACCATACATAGTTTTAAGGCGAGGTATGATAAAGCTCATGGGGCAGGGAGAGAGAGGACCTAGTAGCAATCAGCGAAGAGGCAGGGCCAGGAGCTATGAACCGACCCCTGCAACCACAAATAGGTGAGTACACACACACACACACACATACACACACACACACACACACACACACACACACACACACACACACACACACACACACACACACACACACACACAGTCAAGGACCAGGTAATCAGGCTAAGGAAGGAAGGAGGAGAGACAACAAGAAATGACCGTGAAGTATGTGAGGAACTCAACAAGAGATTCAAAGAAGTGTTGACAGAGGAGACAGAAGGGGCTCCAGAAAGACGGAGAGGTGGGGCACACCACCATGTGCTGGACACAGTGCACACAACCGAGGAAGAAGTGAAGAGGCTTCTGAGTGAGCTAGATACCTCAAAGGCAATGGGGCCAGATAACATCTCCCCATGGGTATTGAGAGAGGGAGCAGAGGCGCTATGTGTACCCGTAACAACAATATTCAATACATCTATCGAAACAGGGAGATTGCCTGAGGCATGGAAGACAGCAAATGTAGTCCCAATCTTTAAAAAAGGAGACAGACATGAAGCATTAAACTACAGACCAGTGTCACTGACATGTATAGTATGCAAAATCATGGAGAAGATTATCAGGAGAAGAGTGGTGGAACACCTAGAAAGGAACGATCTCATCAACAGCAGCCAACATGGTTTCAGGGACGGGAAATCCTGTGTCACAAACCTACTGGAGTTCTATGACATGGTGACAGCAGTAAGACAAGAGAGAGAGGGGTGGGTGGATTGCATTTTCTTGGACTGCAAGAAGGCGTTTGACACAGTTCCACACAAGAGATTAGTGCAAAAACTGGAGGACCAAGGAGGGATAACAGGGAAGGCACTACAATGGATCAGGGAATACTTGACAGAAAGACAGCAGCGAGTCATGGTACGTGGCGAGGTGTCAGAGTGGGCACCTGTGACCAGCGGGGTCCCACAGGGGTCAGTCCTAGGACCAGTGCTGTTTCTGGTATTTGTGAACGACATGACGGAAGGAATAGACTCTGAGGTGTCCCTGTTTGCAGATGACGTGAAGTTGATGAGAAGAATTCACTCGATCGAAGACCAGGCAGAACTACAAAGGGATCTGGACAGGCTGCAGACCTGGTCCAGCAATTGGCTCCTGGAGTTCAATCCCACCAAGTGCAAAGTCATGAAGATTGGGGAAGGGCAAAGAAGACCGCAGACGGAGTACAGTCTAGGGGCCAGAGACTACAAACCTCACTCAAGGAAAAAGATCTTGGGGTGAGTATAACACCAGGCACATCTCCTGAAGCGCACATCAACCAAATAACTGCTGCAGCATATGGGCGCCTAGCAAACCTCAGAACAGCATTCCGACATCTTAATTAATAAGGAATCATTCAGGACCCTGTACACCGTGTACGTTAGGCCCATATTGGAGTATGCGGCACCAGTTTGGAACCCACACCTAGCCAAGCACGTAAAGAAACTAGAGAAAGTGCAAAGGTTTGCAACAAGACTAGTCCCAGAGCTAAGAGGTATGTCCTACGAGGAGAGGTTAAGGGAAATCAACCTGACGACACTGGAGGACAGGAGAGATAGGGGGGACATGATAACGACATACAAAATACTGAGAGGAATTGACAAGGTGGACAAAGACAGAATGTTCCAGAGATTGGACACAGTAACAAGGGGACACAGTTGGAAGCTGAAGACACAGATGAATCACAGGGATGTTAGGAAGTATTTCTTCAGCCACAGAGTAGTCAGTAAGTGGAATAGTTTGGGAAGTGATGTAGTGGAGGCAGGATCCATACATAGCTTTAAGCAGAGGTATGATAAAGCTCACGGCTCAGGGAGAGTGACCTAGTAGCGATCAGTGAAGAGGCGGGGCCAGGAGCTCGGACTCGACCCCCGCAACCTCAACTAGGTGAGTACGCGCGCGCGCTATTCTCAGGTTTGCTAGGCGCCTCTAAGCTACAGCAGTTAGTTAATGTGCGCCTCAGGCGATGTGCTTGGCATGATGCTTACCCCAAGGTCTTTTTTCTTGAGTTTGCGGCCTTTGACCTCTAAGGCTGTATTCCGTCTGCAGGTGCTGCACACAATACACATAACCAAGGAAGAGGTGAAGAAACTGCTAGGTAAACTAGATGCCTCAAAGGCGGTGGGACCAGACATCTCTCCATGGATCCCGAGAGAGGGAGCAGAGGAACTGTGTGTGCCGCTAGCAGTAATCTTCAATAAATCTGTCGAAACTGGACAATTGCCCGGAGAGTGGAAGACAGCAAATATAGTTCCAATTTTTAAGAAAGTAGACAGGCAGCATTAAACTACAGAGCAGTGTCACCGACATGTATAGTACGTAAAATCGTGGAAAAGATTATCGGGAGAAGAGTGGTGGAGCACATTGAAAAGATTGAGCTCATACATGACAATCGGCACAGCTTCAGAGATGGGAAATTCTATCAGAAATCTACTCGAGTTCTACGATAAGGTAACAGAAGTAAGACAGGAGGGAGAGGGATGGGTAGATTGCATCTTTTGGGACTGCAAGAAGGCCTTTGACACAGTACCACACAAGAGACTGGTACAAAAAATTAGAGGAGCAGACAGGAATAGTAGGGAAAATACTGCAATGGATCAGGGAATAGCTGACAGGAAGGAAACAACGAGTGTTGGTACATGATGAAGTGTCAGAGTGGGCGTATGTGTCAATCTTAGTCCGGTGCTGTTTCTTGTACATGTGAATGACATGATGGAAGGAATATATTCAGAAGTATCGTTGTTCGGTGATGATGTGACACTGATAAGGAGAATGCAGGCGGGTGAGGATCAGTTAAGATTACAAGAGGATCAGGACAGACTAAAAGTCTGGTCAGACAAATGGCTCCTGGCGTTTAATCCCAGTAAGTGTCAAGTCATGAAGATTGGGTAAGGACGGAGTACAGGTTAGGAGATCAAAGGCTGCAAACATCACTTAAAAGGATCTTGGGGTAAGCATTATAACAAATATGTCTCCTGAGGCACACATCAATCAAATAACTACTGCAGCATATGGACGCTTGGCAAACCTGAGAACAGCATTTCGACATCTGAGTAAGGAGTCATTCACGACATTGTACAACGCGTACGTCAGGCCTATACTGGAGTATGCAGCACCAGTATGGCACCCACACCTAGTCAAGCACATCAAGAACTTGGAGAAAGTGCTAAAGTTTGCAACAAGATTAGTCTCGGAACTGAGTGATATGTCTTTCGAGGAGAGGTTAAGGGAACTGAAGCTGATGTCGCTAGAGGATACGAGGGATAGGGTAGACATGATAATGGCGTATAAAATACCGAGAGGAATTGACAAAGTGGACAGGGCTCGATGCTTCAGAAAGGGGATACAGGAACAAATGGCCACAACTGTAAGTTGAAAACCCAGATGAATCATGAGAGCGCTGCGCTCTCGGCTTCTTCGGCCTCTTCCTCACTCCGCGCTTAGGTCTACGAGAGGCAACACAGGCAGTCTGGGCTCCCCTCTCACACTTTGCTAATATAAGTGTTACCATCCAAAAAGTGTGCTTAACTCCAACCATCACATCTCCACGAACCCTCCCGACAGCTTTAGAGCTGTCAGGAAGTGGAATAATCTGGAGAGTGAAGTAGTGGAGGCAAGTTCCATACATAGCTTTAAGAAGAGGTATGATAAAGCTCATGGAACAGGGAGAGAGTAATTAGTATCGACCAGTGAAGAGGCAGGGCCAGGAGCTATGAATCGACCCCTGCAACCACATACAGGCGAGTACATATAGGTGAGTACACACACACACACACAAGCCAAGTGTCCATCGACAAGTATGTGGACAACTACCAGCCAACACATAACTAACACACACGGAGCTATGAATCGACCCCAGCAACCACAAGGAGTCGAATACACCTTCACAGTGCAGTGTATGACTCTCTAAAGTTATTTTTTTTTACTACAGATGATCACCCAGCGGAAGCTGGACCTGCCGGTGAAGGGCACGAACATGAGTAAGTTAACTGTGACATATCTGTAACTAATAAAAACCTAATCAGCGAACTTTACTCCTGTATGGAACTAACTTACCCACGAATGTTATTACTACATGGATTTAACTAACCAATGAAACCTACTTTTGTAGAGACCTAAGTAACTCGCGAATGGTAGTACTCTTAAGGTAACTAACACACAAGTATTACTTACGAAGGAATCTATTCCACGAACGTTACTTCTTCAGGGAGCTAACTAACTTACGAACTTTACATTTACTGGACGCTACTTATCCATAGACATTACTTCTGCTTGGAGTTAACCCACGGAACGCACGTTCTTCTGGAAGCTAACTAACCAACGAAACGCACTTTCTTCAGGAAGCTAATTCACCCACTAACGTTACTTCTAGAGCTTGAATTTAACTAACATGAATTTGGACATGCACATTAAGGCTTTAAAATGCAAGTCTTCTAACACTGCTCCTCTGACCCAGCAGTAAATAGATACCAAAAAGATATCTGCTGTGTACCACATCAAGGGGTGACCCAAAAATACCCAAATGGAAATATGCCGCACTGTTTGGCTTTCTTGGATAATCAACTCTCCGCGCTTATTGATTCCAATAGTTTCCTCTACGGATCCAGCCTTCCGTTCTTAGATATATTAATTACAAATAATGTTAATGGTTTTGAGACTTCTCTACATCGTAAACCCACATTCACTGGTTTAGGCATAAACTTTTTAGCATTTGTTCCATACATGCTTAAATTTAATGCTAGCAGAGCTTTATTTCATCGAGATTTCATACTTTCAATTATGTTAACTTCGATTTGGAATTAAAATAACAAACTTTTAAAATAATTCTTACCCCTTTACATGTTATTCAATCTATGACAAGGAAATATTTGGATATACAGTACCCAGACATATTAAATATAGTATTAGACTTCCTGACTATGGATATTATGTTTGTTTACCAGTTTAAAAAAAAATTTCAGCCTTATTGTTTGAACTTTGTCCTTAAATTTCTTCTCGGTTTGTTGTTACTAATTGTTTAACAGTTAAGTCATTTTTTAAGTTTAGAGACAGGTCCCTACACCTTTAGGCTCAAATTTTGTATATAACTATAAATGTCCCAACTGTTCGTTGCGGTATATTGGCAGTTCGTCACGAAACTTCCAAATCTAATTATGTGAACATAAAGTTGTGTCTCGCAGAATTAATCTCCCTTTTACTCGTCTCAATCTGAATTTCGGGAACATTTTCTTTAAATCACCCTTTAAAATTCCAGTGATTTTAAATTTTTGAATAATTGTTGTAATTCGCTTGATCTTCGATTGCTTTAGTCTTTATATATAATACATAAGTTGAAGCCAGAGCTTAATAACTGAAAAATCAATTCGACTCTTCACAGTTAATTGCCTTCCTTAGTCTACCTCTGAAGAACATTCAGGGGAAACTTATATATAAAGATGTATAATACTGGATGTCAAAGCTTAATAATTAGGAAGTTTACATAACATTGCCCATTGTTTACTTTATCCATTAAATTTTTTAATAGTTTCATAATTATTGTTCTTCGTTAGCATCATCTTAAACGTGCTAACTACAAATCTAAGCTGTGTGGATATATTTGATTTATATTTTAATATTTTAATTAAGATTTACTTTACTTTAAAAATTTTAATGTAACTTTTAATTCTGATGATGTTAAATCCGAAACGGTAATAAAGAAATTGGATGTCCAAAAAGATGGTGTTTGCCACATATCATCTAACGAGTTAATAATACAAATTCTTCCGGACAACTTCACTGACTCAGCAGGAATACAAGACCCTAGCTACGTTCGTGCCAATACCGAATGGAAGACTCTTGCTGTTGCAGCACCTAAACCTATTGCAGCACTGACCTACAAACAGTCAAGTTGGGATGGCCCCATTACTGAAAAGGTGCTTACCAACATGTTGAGGATTGTAACATCAGACAGGGAGATTGCCCGTCTCCAAGCTGTGAGTGCACATCACTCTTGGGACTTCCTCCAAACAGTCCCCATTTCGGCAGTGGGAACATGCTTCACTCCATACTGCAGTGGCTCACCGCCTCACTGCCCCAATTCACACGGAATATATACGTATTTGCGGTGATGCGCAAGCCGACCAGAGTGGTCTACATGGTCTTAACTGCTCCAAAACCATGGGCTGGCATGCAAGACACAATGAAATCAACGACATCATGAAGAGTAGCCTTGCTACGGCTGGATGCCCAGCCGAGAGAGAGCCCCAATCACTAGCAGCCACCAATACTCACAACCCCACAAACCACCCTGATGGGATCACCATCTGTCCTTGGACGAATGGCAAGCTCTTAACATGGGACTATACCTGCGTGTCGACGCTGGCTGACACCTACATCCATCACAGTGTCGGGCGACAGGGAGGAGCTGCTGATCACGGAGAAATGCAAGATCGGCACGTACAGAGACATAAGCCAATAGTATCAATTTGTTCCTGTAGGATCGTAGACCTTGGGATCATGGGCAAAAAATGCCACACGTTTCCTTAAAGAACTGGGTTCCAGACTCGACACCACCAGGGACCCGAGGGTGGCCACTTTTATGTTCCAGCGTCTCAGTGTGGACATCCAGACGGGAAATGATTGCTACATACTTGGCTTGCGTCCGGCTTTGGAGGAGCTGGAGGAGATTCATAATCTTTGACATATTGTACCATTGCATTCGTGTTTGTGTTTTTTAATCAGTGAATTCTGTCTATAAATGAAGTTCACATAAAAAATAAAATATAGGGGGTGGTAGGAGAAAACATTCAAACAGCTCCGGGGAGAATCTTTAGTTTTCCATGAAGTACGTTTATTCTCTTCTCTGCGGATGAGGGTCCCCAGTCCAGTTCTAGAGGTGGTACCCTATGTATATATGTCGTGCTGAGTAGGTAAATCTTACGATTTTGACTTAAATAGCAATGCTCTTGCCGAATAAGACAAACGAAAATTTGTTTATGCAATAATCTCGCAAAAATCATTCTGAACCTAACGAAAAAAAATATATTTCATTGTGATTGTTTGTTATTAAATTATTGTAAACTAATTTAAAATATATTTAGCTGGATTAGGTAAAATTAAATTGCGCCTGTGTTGCCTGATATTTCTGCCCAGAAGAGGCTGTCCAGGAACTTTTTTGGGGCAACTGTATGACGAAGGCAAGCTACAATATCTCTGCATGTGTAAGTAAGTAAGTAAGTAAGTAAGTAAGTAAGTTTATTCAGGTATACACAAATACAGTTACATAGAATTATCGTACATAGCAGCATATGTGTAGAGAACCTGGGATAACCCAAAAAAGTCAGACAGAGTGACTTATTTCCATTGGGGTCCTTTTACCTTATTATTATAATATAAAGGTTATAATATTTTCTTATTATTCTACAATGAAGATAACATCTTATTATCATACTAAAAAGACTATCTACTACAGGAGGGTCATTAAGACTATCTACAATACGAGGGTCATTACTAGGAATAAGGTAAAATTTACACGTATGTTAGCTAAAAAATTGAAAATCATTCCCCTCCCTTTCTGTAGCTACATTCATCAGACACCTTTTGGCACTCTTCTTGAACTGGTTCATGCTATGACTGGCTTTGACATGTGCGCGTAGTCTGTTCCATTCCTTTATTGCTGTACAATAAAAGGTGTTTGAAGCCTGCAAAAACAGTTATTGTAATATGACTGTTTTTGCACTGTTATTTCATCGTCGTTCCTGCTTCCCCAGCACATGAGATGGTGACCTTATTGGCTTCCGCTGTCAACATTACTCTGAACAACAGGAAAGAGTGTCCAATGCTGTACACCCGCATTGGTGACTACTGCCTCGCTCTCTTCTCCCCTGCGAAGGTGGGTTGAATATCATTCTTCTTGGGTCCTAAAGTGATCCAACACGATATCTTGAAAAGTTAATAGAGATTTATATAGAACGACATACACCAACGACACTTTCGGCAAGATTATATATAGTTACTGTGTACTATATATATATATATATATATATATATATATATATATATATATATATATATATATATATATATATATATATATATATAACTGTGTGCTGTTACCATTTTGTCCTAGGCACATGTCAATTAGACACTAGGCCTGTTCTATATGCGTGTGTGTACTCCCCTAATTGTACTCGCCTAATTGTACTCGCCTAATTGTGGTTGAAGGGGTGGAGACTCAGCTCCTGGCCCCGCCTCTTCACTGAGTGCTACTAGGTCCTCTCTCTCCCTGCTCCATGAGCTTTATCTTACTTCATCTTAAAGCTATGTATGGTTCCTGCCTCCACTACGTGTGTGTGTGTGTGTGTGTGTGTGTGTGTGTTAGTTACCATTTTGTCCTAGGCATATACCAATTAGTCACTTAGCCTGTTGTATATGTATGTATGTGTGTGAGTTTGACCTGCCTCGCATGGGCCAGCAGGCCTGTTGTAGTGTTCCTTCTTATATTCTTTTACATACTCTTCCAAATTCCTGCACCAACCTTTGCAGCTTCTTTTCAGAATCTCCTAAACGACCTGTGTTATCGGCAAAATGTAAGTGTGGCAACTCCCAGCTATGTCAAATTCTTTCTTTAATTCTACAGCTCTTTCCAACATTCACTTCTTTTACAACAACATCTATAAATGTGTTAAACAACCACTGTGACTTCATACATCCCTCTCTAAGCTCTATTTTTACTGGAAAAATAATCCTCTCTTTCTTCAACATACCCTAATCTGAGCCTCACAAAAAAACGTTTCTTTACTGCTTTTAATAATTTACAACCGGTTCCATAAATTTTCAACATTTGCCACATACATTCCCTATCCACACTATCGTATGCCTTATCTAAATGCATAAATGCAACAAAGAATTCCTCGCCTTTGTCTATGAACTGTTCACTTAGATGCTTTGGTATAAATACTTGGTCAATACCTCAACAACCCTTCTTAAATTCTCCTTGTTCTTCTGTGTTCCTGCTCTGTCTTACCCTTGAACTTTTCAATGAAAGTTCCATTATGCACTGGTACAGAGCACCTTAGTAGGCACCTCTGTGAATTTCACCATCAGCTAACGAGTTTGCAATTAAGTATTCAGTCCCTCAGGGACCGTGTCTTGACGTCGGTGAGGGGTTCTTTCTGCAAGGAACTTGACTTGGTATTTTCATGCTTCAAGTGAACCTAATTGCCTCTTATTTCCCAAGGTTCTGTATGACTCCTCTAAGGATTTAGCGCTTCTAAATTAATGACATAATAATGTGTTCAAGTCAACAGTATTGCTTCCCTCACCACAAGTTTTTATCTCAATTGTTATCTCCGCCAGGTGTCGTGGCCAGAAGCGAGACAGTTCTGCAGATCCATTTACGGCGATCTGTTGAAATTTGAAGACTTCAGGGATTTCGGACTTCTGTTGCAGTACATGAGAGCAGCAAGTGTGCATCCGTATCTCCCAGTATCATTAACAAAAAAAAAAAAAATAAAAAACGTAAACTTAGAATCTTGTGTGTGGTTTAACGTAAATTAAATATTTCACCATTCATTATTATTATTATTATTATAATCAAAAAGAAGCGCTAAGCCACAAGGGCTATACAGCTTCACCATTCATGATTTGAAGAGTATCTCTTGTAATAAAAGATCATGTCATGTCATGAACGGTTTTTAATCATCTGAATTCATGTTATTCAAAGCTTTGTTTTTAAACGTATTTAAGAAAATATTTAAATGAGCAGGGTATTGTTTATGGGAAGTTGATGAGTGGACCGTATGATGGAAATTCAGCTAATAGAAAGCGAGTCCATGACTGATGGCTTGTGCAACACGGAACTGGCAGCCTGGGCAAAAGAAGCAACATCTGTACGTTGACATTCCCTTTTGCAGTCTCATGAGTTGCCAGGTAACGGAAGTTCTTCCCGACAGCAAATGTAACTCTCGATTCTGGGATGGCCAACCCCTCATTGCTGTCACTGTCAATTATTATTATTATTATAATCAAAAAGAAGCGCTAAGCCACTGTCACTGTCAAACTAGCACATTTGTGCCACCTGTGCGTATTGACACCTTTGTATACTTTTGCTGCACTTGTAGAAATATTCGGGTGTCGGCTACTTCAGTTCATGGAGCGGGACCAAACACCTCTCGGGTTGAGTACACAGACTATTAGTCTAATGTGTTGTCAGTGGCTTCAACAATCGTCACCAGGAATGAGAAAAGTTCATCCTTGTTTTCATTGATGTAAAACAATTCCTGCCAGTTTCTAGAAACTGCAGCGGAAGCCTCAACACGTTGACGAACTCTTTCCTTTAGACTTCCAGAGTACACATCTCGCACATCAAGTCGGCTAATATACTGCAGCTTGGATGTGAGGTACAGTTAGGTTAGGTAAGATTCGTCAGGAAACAGGACAAATGTTTCTTGACGCTGGTCTTAATCATATGATGACCTCCCACTAGACGTTTTGGTCATCTGACCGAGGTCTTCAGCTGGCTTACTTGTCGACCCCTTTGAAAATTAAAATTATACCGTACGTCATAAGTCGCTATATAAACACTTGTGAACACTCAAAACTGTTTCTATAACCACAGGTTGAAAAATATTGACAACAGCTGCTACAGCGAGGAAAGTGACTTGTGATATTGAATATTCTTCTGTATTGGAGAATAACAAATCCAAGTTGGTACTAATTCTCATTTTGACCATCTGAGACACCAAGTCTGCCTGATTTTAATGTTGACCTCTGTCCATTGGGTATCTGGATACTAGATTGAGCCTAGAGAAGTGGGAGCAATTGTTCTTCGGGAATGAAAACTGTTTGGATTTTGACATCTCTCTGATAGGAAGAAGTCTGAGGAGAGGAAAGTTGTATCATTTGACGGGATCTGTGATGGGCCCTGTGTGATGTGTGAGTGATAAGGCGATCACTGACTACGTGTTGTATTATTCTTGTTCAGGTATCTAAATATCAGTGTGTTGATGACAGTTGCTTCTGCAAGCGCTCTCTTGTTCAGTACAGATGCAACGCTCAAAAAATGGATTTTGTCACCGAGAACTTTTCTCAAGTGAAACGTCTTGCTGATAAAAAGTTTCTTTATTAAAAGTGTCTTTTTAAAAGTGTACATTCTTGAGATATAGAATATGTGGTCTTGCAGAGCTGACAACTGATTACTGGATCGGAGGTCGCTTCGACTTGGATACTAATGCTTGGTCGTGGACCGTGGATGACTCCACCATGCCCCTGGGCTCTCCCTACTGGGCTGAGAGGTTAGTGGCACAAGGCTCTCCTTACTGGGCTGAAAGGTTAGTGCTCCAAGGATCTCCTTACTGGGCTGAGAGATTAGTGCTCCCAGGCTCTCCTTATTGGGCTGAGGGGTTAGTGCTCCTGGATTTTCCTTACTGAGCTGAGAGGTTAGTGCTCTGGGCTCTCCCTACTGCGCTGAAAGGTTAGTGCTCCTGGGCTCTCTTTAGTGAGAAATTAGTGCCCTAGGATGCCCCGCCCCCTTCCCCTTACCGTAATGACTATTATAATAAAAAAGAAGCGCTAAACCACAAGGGCTATACAGCGCACTTACCGTAATGAGAGGTTAGTATCTTCCCAAGTTTATGTATTATGCTTTGTCATGCCTGTGTTTCAGCATGCCAAAGGCAAATTAACTCATGGATGTGTTGGATGTCATTACAGATACATTGGCACATGCACCCGGCGCCCTCCACCTCATACTGATCCCTTCAGCAACCCGCCTGCTGCGCTGCCTGGTGCTGCCTGCTATCAGTATACGCAGGCACCTAAGAACCGCCAGCAAGGATGGTAATATTATTGCTAAAAGTACCTGATACCAGTTATACAGACCTAGGTGATATTGACATTATACAGAAAGCCCCTGGTTATTCAGAGCATTTCGGGCAACTTAGGTTAATCTTGTCCCCCAGGATGCGACCCATACGAGTCTGTTAACACCCAGTTACCTACTTATTGCTAGGTGAACAGGTTAATTATATATAAGCTATGTGAACAGGGACAGTAGGTGTCTTAAGGAAACGCCCGATATTTCCACCTGTATCAGGAATCGAACCACGGACCTCAGTGTGTGAGAGGTGATTTAGCTACTGAGCTACGGGACACGAGATGTATCAAGTCCTGTAGTAGTAGTTTTGTATACTGTGCTTTTATTCCCCTCGAAGGTGGTTCCTTGATGTTTGTGATGGGCTCTTGATCTAAGGAATTTGACCAGTGCTCCAATTCCTCGAATCTAGCCTGAATATTTTCCATTCCCCGATGCATTGTATGACCCTTATGGGTTTAGTGCTTCCCCATGAATGTAAAAATAATAGTGTACTTTTATTGGATGTACAGACATAGTGCTAGCAGATATGGTTATGAAGATACACTGCAGAACAGAGGTCGAGTTTTTATGAAGTCACTGGTAGAGCTTGAAGCTCTGCCCTGTGCGAAACAGGACCGATAATAGCTTGTTTTAGATAGTGCCTTTGTATCCACATGCACTGGCTGCTCGTTTAGAGTCTTCATGTACTGGTTGTCGCCTTTGGTTTAGCTAAGGAGAGAACTTCATTCCGTTATCATTTGGTGCTGCACAACTAAAAGATTGGAAAGGACTTAATTAAAAAAAAAAAAAAACATTGGGCATGTATGATGGTCTCGCGCAATGGTTATCTCGAAAAAGTGTTAGTCTCACACGTGAAGCATTTCTCGCATTTACATGGGTCGTATAGCACCTGGGAAAAGTCATTTAGGTTCTATCCAGGTAAGAAAAGTACAGTTTCATGGATCAACCCTGGAGAGTCTGCCAAGTTTTAATGAAATTTCTTGCAGGAGGAGAGGTTTCCAGGTGGTGAGTTACGTAATTTGAAGAAGTGAGTTATAGTATCCATTCCATTATCTGCTGAAGTCTTAGCAGACTATCCATAGATCATCAGTGTTGTGGAAACCTGTTCCATGGTTTAAAGTGGGGGCTATGTTTCATAAGGTGGTAGACAGTTTTCTTTCGAATATTTTCCACTATGCAACAGTCTCGTCTGCTGTTCATACAGTATTATAGTACTAATTATTTAATTTTTACAACTGTACAACTTCTGCTTTTGGCAGTACCTAAACCTGTTCTCATGCTAAATTTAATTTTTTCTATTAGACCTAAGCCTGAACACTTCAAGTTAATTTAGTACATTTATGAAGTAGGACGTTTAATTTAAATAAGTTTCTTTCCAAACTCTCGTGATCTTTACCGACGTTTCCTACAGGTGTTCCGCCCTGACCTATGAGCATTTCTACTATATAAGTGACGAGATCTGTCAGGAGGAAAGGAGTCCTCTGTGTATGCTGGTAGACACTGAGGAAGACCTGCCCGAAGGCGAACCAAAAGTGGAACCCGATCCTAAATCACCCCCACAGCTTTAATTCTCATCCTCCTCTTGCCCAGATTACGACTTGTTACAATAATGGCTAGTTTGATCCTGTGCAGGTTTTAAAGGCCCTGTACATGCCTCTAATCACATTCCTCTTGCATGGCTTGGGAGTCGCTGATTATTCTTAACCTGACTCCCATAATAGTATGCAGTTTCAAGAAAGTATTAAACCTGCCTTACTGTTATAACTAATCTCAAATATATAGGTTTTCCAGAAGTTTATGTGGTAAGAACATACTAGACGAGATAAACCAACTCCACAGAAGTATGTAGAATTGTAACCTCACAGTAAAAATAACTTTCAAGTACTATGCATCTTAATTTTAACCCAAAACTGTTGTGCATCATTTATCCAAAAACTTCTCAAATACTTTGAAAACTTTCCATAAACCAGATAATTTAGCTTCCACCCTTGATAACTAAGGAATGAGAGGCAATCATGCAACAGAAAAAATGAAGGGTGTTTCTAATTACCTTCACCAGCAATAATACCTTCGTAGGTTACACAATCTAAACACTGGACGAGTGGAGGGGAAGAATGGAATGTTTACATAAACTGTAATGCACCTATTATCAATCATAACTAAGCGCTAAACCCTTAATGTAATACACACAATGACCAAAGAAATGGCAAGACAAATGGCGGCAATGTCCATGGCAGGAGCACACCCCACACACGCTTAAGATGCTAATTATATACGTATAGCAGGGCTGCATGACTCTAGAGGGTTTAGCACTTTTTGATTATAACACACTTATAGAGCAAGTACTAAATATTTAGAACAAAACCTTGAGGAATTGAATACAATTAAGTTTTATCAAGTGGAGGGTATCAGTGCTACATTAACAAGGTCATGAATTCAGGCAGACTAAGAATATAGATCGAGGGTGAATTCCTGGTTGCTAACTTGTTTTGGATTAACAATGAAATTCTAGTTAACTTCAGGGGAGCTTTTTTGAATTTCAGTTAAATTCTACGTGGGACAGCACGAAACCATATAGTAGAAGAAAGTGCTAAACCGGCAAGTCATGCAGCACTGCTGGGCAGAAAATAGTGCTGTGGCTATAAACGGCTAGGTGGAGAGGGGATCAGAGGGGAGGAGAAATGGTCTGGAAGGGATGCTAAGGGCTGTGTATCAAAGTTCGTATGGTAAAGCAGTTGCTGACAAAGTCAAAAAGCGATCTCAAGTCAAAGGCAGCGGAGCCGTCTGCAAGAAGGGAAGAGCGGTAGGGCGATGGCTCACTGGTAAACCGGACAATCCACAGGAAAGTGAAGAACCGAAATAGGGAGCCAACAAACCTCAGAGGAATAGAGTGCCATTCCATGAGATACCCATGGGTAAGGCGAGTATGCCGTACTCTGGAGAATGCAGTCTCCCGAATACGGCAATGGTCGTAAGATGATGGCCACAAACCTAAAAGTGGTCTGATAGAGTGCAATTTATGGTGTATGTCCGACCACCGTTGTTGCCAACGGCCGCTAAGAAGGGCAGAGATGACTTAAATAATCCCTGGATGGAATACCTCTATAGGAAACTGTTAGATCACATACCACTGGCCGTGCAGCACGATCCGCCTGTTCATTGTCCAATTATCTCGATAATAGCCTCCCACAGCACATTTCAAATGCCCTGCACGGGTGCACACAGGAGACCACCAAGGAATGCACGTCTGAGAATGCCTGCCCGAGGTTTGAGGAATAGAACATGGTGCTGCAGTCAAAACTAAGGTCGAAAACTGGTGAACCAGCTCATCAACAGAGGACGAAGAAGGGTCCCCACAAAAAGCAGTAAGACAAGAGTATGTGTCCCAGTTTGCTCCTTCAAATTGCCAACGGGGCCAACAAGGCAGTCGGGAATATGCAAAGTAAGAAAAACAGGAAAGTGATCACTGTCATGCAAATCCGGGAGAACAGACCAAGTGTAATCAAGTGTGATTGACAAGGAACAGATAGATCAACACGAGACAGTGTGAGTGTCAAAAATGGGCGAGGGCGCCCACATTTAAAACACGAAGAGGACAAGAGGCAAGAAGGATGGGATAGGGAAGGGGGGATTGGGGGTAATTAGATTCGGTCTGAAGGAGACCGAAAGGTCTAATTCCTCAGACCAAGAGCCTCTTCACTGCACCAAGGAGCCCTCCCCCTTGGAAGAGGCATTATACCATATTATTATAATAAAAAAGAAGTGCTAAACCACAAGAGCTATACAGTGCTGCAGGGCAGGGAAGGAAGCGAGGGTATCAGGTGGCAAAAAGGAGAGGGACGATTAGTAGGTTATGGAGATTAGCGGGGCATTGGATAGTGCGGGGGTAGAGGGTAGCAAGAGAGTGAGGTAGAAAGGGCTGAGGGGAGTGCTAAAGGAATCATCAAAGTTTGTGGAGTAAATTAGTTGTTCTCAAAGTCAACGAGAGTCCGGATTAAAGGAGGGTCCATCAACAAGAAAGGAAGGTAAAGAGAGAGCAACAGAGTGGAGACGACGGTGGAGGTAAATTCTGCGTGCTCGTTGATAGAGTGGGCAGTCTAACAGAATGTAACTGATACTGGAACCTGCCAATTCTCAGAGAGGAACTGGGTGCCTCTCCATGAGATACCCATGAGTAAGACGAGTGTGGCCAATGCAAAGATGGGCAGAGAGTAGTCTCCCAACCTCGACACTGGTGACAAGAAAATGGCCAGTAACCTATACTTGGTTTAATAGAATGAAGTTTATTACTGAGCAGCTCAGACCAATGTCGTTGCCAATGGGTGTGAAGGTGGGATGCTATTACAGCAAAATAGTCCATAAATGGAACACCTATATGAAACTGGAAGGTCATATACTGCTGACTGAAGTAGTGTCTGCCTGTTCATTGCCCTGTATGTCAACATGACCAGGGACCCAACAAAAAAAATATCTTCATGCTTGGTTGAGATATGGCATAACCAAAGTTGGATATGGAGAACAAGGGGGAAAGGTGTATTAAATGTTCGTATAGCCTGTAAAGCACTAAGGGAGTCTGAAACAACCACAAATGATGACATAGGCATAGATGCAATACAAATAAGTGCTGCAAGAAGGGCATACAATTCAGCAGTAAAATGCTAGCCAAGATAGTAAATGCCCTCGCACAACACTGGAAACACTGCTGTGAATCTGATGCTGTTGGAAGGCTTAGAGCCATCCACGTACACTGCAATGGCATGAGAATGAGAGCGGAAGTGGTCAAGAAAAAGAGAGCAGGAAGCAACCGTAGGCAGTTGGGCTTTCGCGCAAGGGAGCAAGAGAAAACAGACTCGAACAGCTGGAGCCTCCCAGGGGTGCAGGGAAAAGTGAGATGCTACATGAACATAGAAAGGTGGTAACTGAAGGGAAGACAAGAGTGAATGTAGGTGAAGAGAAAAAGGATGGAGCAAACAGGGGTGACGAACAAATAATGTCTACTAACATAGATGACTATTTTATATATGGAAGGATTGCAGAGATCATGAGTGAACATAGTAGCAAAGGCAATGGGCATCACAGCGATCGGACAAGGCTTCTGCATAGACACTCGACAGGGGAAGAGCGGGAAAACACCAAGGCATAAAAGTAATCCCTGGTGGTGGATGGGATTAAGGCTAGAGAGAGTAGTAGGAGAGGCCACTGAATAGATCTGGACACCATAATCGAGTTTCGATAAAATGAGGGCTGAATGTAGGCGAAGGAGAGTTCGACGATCAGCTCCCCATGAAAGATGAGCAAGGGTTTTAAGAAGGTTTAGCTGGCTGTGACAAGTTGCTTTCAGAGAGGTAATGCGAGGTTTCCAGGATAACTTACGGTCAAAGAGAAGGCCTAGAAACCTGACCGTATCACGTTCAGGGATACATGATCCATAAAGGTATAAAGGACGATCAGAGATGACAGAGCGTCTAGTGAAAGTAATTTGGTGTGTTTTAATGCTGGAAAATTTAAACCCATTCGTAGTGGCCCAATTGGAAACACGGTTGACTGCATGCTGGAGACAAACTGTAATGAGGTGACAGTCAGCACCTGCACAAGAAATAGCGAAGCCATCAACAGAGTGATGACCAAATATAGGATGGAAAAGGCCAAATCATTTATAGCAAGGAGAAAAAGTGTTGTGCTCAGAACACATCCCTGGGAGACACCTTCAGCTTGGACAAAGTCCGGGGAGAGCATATTATTAACCCAAACACTGAAATGTCTGCCAGTTAAGAAGTTCCTAAGGAAGGATGGTAGACTGCCTTGGAAGCCTAAGGAGTGGGCTTGGGCCAAAATAATATACCTCCAAGTTGTCATATGCCTTCTCAAGGTCAAAAAATATGGCAATAACCGAGTGGTTATTCGCAAAGGCATTATAAACATAGGTATCCAAGCATAGTAAGGGGTCTATGGTAGATCGGCCATAACGAACGCCATATTGACTAGTGGAGAGACTTCTCTCTAAATACCACATTAAATGCCGATTTACCAGACATTCCCTCACTTTGCAAACTGCACTGGTAAGAGCAATGGGACGATAGTGGGAGGCATGTCCCGTAGTACCCAGCTTGCAGAAAGGGAGAACAATGGCAGATTTCCACAGTTGGGGAAGAACTCCTTGTGACCAAATAAGATTGATGAGGTGTAAGAGGACCATAAGGGCTGACTGATGTAAGTGTTGTAACATCCGAATACTGTTCGAGAGAAGAAAAGTCCAAGGGTACTAACTCTGGCAGACTGAGGAAAGAAACTAGGGGCATAGATGGAGCCCCCAGAAAATACAGACCAGATGAGTGCCAATTTCAGTGGCAACGTCAAGAGTATTTACCACTCAATTTCCCCACTTTTTTCCAGACTGCACTCAGAAGAAGCAGAGGTGATGGTGGAAACAATCTCGCCAGCAAGTGCGTTTAGGTCACTGATGACATGGCAAGTGACCGCACGCTTCTGCTTAAAATCAAGAAGTCTCATCAGTTCATTGTACTGGTACCTGCCCCATGCAGCGCGTTTCAAATGTACTGCACAAGCACAAGCAGGAGACCACCAAGGCATGCACTTCTGAGAATGCCTGAGGTTTGGGGTATAGAATGAGAAGCTGCGGCTAAAACTGACGTCAAGAAGAGGTGTAGGAGCTCATCAATGGAGGATTAAGAAAACCTCACTAAAAGCAGAGTTGCGAGTAAAGGTCCCAATTTGCCCGATCAAATTGCCAGCGAGGGCTATGGAAAGCTGGTGAATATGAAGTAAGAATGATTGGAAAAATGATAGCTGTCATGCAAGTCTGGTAGAATAGACCAGGCAAAGTCTAGTGCAGTGGAGGAAGAGCAGACCGATAGATCGATGCAAGAGAGTATGAGTACGAGGATCAAAATGGGTGGGAGTACCCATATTTAAAACATGGAGGGGGCGAAAGGCGAGAAAAGCCTCCAACTGAATGCCACGCGAGTCACAATGAGACCCCCCCCCCCTCAGAGGAAATGGTGGGCATTAAAATCGCCAAGTAACAGAAGTGGTGGAGGTGAGGATGAAACAAAGGCAAAATCTGGGATAGAAAATGCCCGAGGAGGAGAGATATAAAGAACTTATTGAAAACCACTTAAGTGGATACGGGCTGCAGTGTAATGCAGCGAGGTATGGGCAAATAGTTTACAGTACAGAATATCATTGCGTAGAAGTGCACTTTCATTAAAGGTCCCATCTGAGGAAGGATCCGAAGAATACAACAAATTAAAGCCCGAGATAGGTTGGAAAACAGCCGAGTAATTTTGGTTCTTGTAAGCAAACACCAACAGGGGAAAACCTGGAAAGCAACATCTGAAGCTCACCCCGATTACCCCTGATGCCACAGATATTCCACTGTAAATAGGCCATGATTGGCAATAAGGAAAATACCAGGAATCCATAGGAAAGGGCACCTACGGGCTAGAGGGGTTAGAAAAGTCTGTGCGGTGGGTGGCATCTGAAGACGTTCAAACAGTGAAGGAACTGAGCTTGTGAAGAATGGAGTTGTGAAGAGGAGAGAGGGAAGGAACCCGGTGGTCAGTTCATTGAATTAGTCTTGAATAATAGAAATAGCGTCAAAATTTCTGATTATAAGACGCCTATGGGGAGGACAAATGGGAGATAAGAGGGAAGGGAGTAAAGATGGGACAGTAATGAACGTACTAAAGTGGGGGGGGGGCAACAAAAACATGGGGAAACTGGAGAATGGGGAGGGCAGAAGAGAAACCTGGGAGGTGGGAAAGGGGAGATGGAGGAGGGGGTGGAAAGATGGAGTACGAGACACAAGGAGGGGGGTGACCCCACACTTGTAATAAGCCAGTGAGAGGAGAAGAACCAGGTACAGAGACTGGAAAGGCAAAATGTGGGGGCAGAAGGGAAGGAGAGGGCAAGGAAAATTTGATCAAATGGGATTTTTTTGGACTTCTGAGTAGAGGGGCAACTGGTAGGTGTTGTATGAGATCTCGTCAATACTGGGGCTTGTGAGCGAGGACTAAGATGTCAGAACAGACCGAGGTGTTTAAGTAGGGACATCTGAGCCCAGGACAGCAAAAGAATTAAATACAGGAGTGACTATGGGAGGGGTAACAACAGAGGCTGCAGAAGATGGGACCCCAGAAGTGGGGGGATGTTTTTGAAACATGATAATAAACACTGGGTAGTCTCCCTTGGAGGCAGAGATTAGAAACTGCCATAGCATAAGGGAGACCTGCTTCTTTGAGGGAACGAATTTCACGCTCATTCAAGTAAACCTGGCAACTGAGTACGAAGGGCGAGCCTCATGACAATTAAAGCAAGAGGGAGGTCGACTGCAAGATGTATTAGAATGGTAGTCGGCACCACAGACTGGGCATTCAGCTATAGATCTGCAATATTTTGCTGGGTGACCAAAATGCCAGCAATTTCTGCACTGTTGCAGTGTAGGGATCACCTTTTGAACTTTTAACCGATGTCCTGCTACATAAACAGGATAAGAGTTCATGGCTGTCAAAAGTTAATCGAGCCTCATTGCAAGGGTATCATCTATGCCCGCAGGCAGAAAGGACATGAAAGTGTTTACTTTGAGGATTGGGAGATCTTGGAGTTCCAGCTGTTCGAGAATGTCATTGCCACAAGTCTGGAAATTCTGTTGGACTATGTATGGGGCAGAATGACTGTACCACTACAAGAATCGAGGGAATGATATTTTTCGATAGTGACAGGAACAGTAGCGATATGTTTAAGAGAAAGATCACGAGCTTGGGTAGCATTCTGGACAGTGATGATGCATGTACCACTCTTGAGCAGGAAAGGAAACATCTCTACCAACATGGCGTAGGAGTGCCTTGCCAATACTATGGTCGGAAAGATAGGCAATAGAGGAAGTCTGTCGTAAAGTAAAGAATTTAGTCCATTGTACATTCTGAAACTGTGTGGAAAGGGAGTGCATGGTGTGTAGGTCTTTTCCGAGTAGAACGAGAAGGTGGCAAAGTATCATTAGGCAATTGACATTGGCGTTTAGGAGTGGGACCGGAGTTGGTACAATGTGGGATGGGCTGGCGATTCGAAAATTGCCGCACCGTAGAGAGGGGGGCCGGAAGCATAGTCAAAGGAGAGTGGAGGTCAGACAAAGGAGTCAGTCGAAGCCCTGGTACCTGAAGCGGGTGACAAAACGGCACCAGCAAGAGGTACAGGGGCATCAGGAGTGTCCAAAGAGTGGCCAAAAAGTGAGGCAGGGTCAGATTGGGGTGCACTATCAAAAAGGGGGCCTGCGGGGGGTAGCAGGGTCATTGACTGGGTCTTCCATGGTTAGGGTCCTTTTTAAGGGGAGGAAAAAAAAAAAAAATTGGGAGGAATAGTTCCTAGGAGGAATGAAAGGGCAGGAAATCTCCCTCTTTGCCCAAGAGGACCTCGGCACCGAGAGTAGCACAGAATGTCATGGAACCCATGCCATACCCTACCCTTCATGCCAGTAAACCAGCAATCTGGGATAGCAACCTCACATCTGCCGAGCTACCTCGGTGGACAAAAGAGGGCAGCTGGATATCCACCACATAGCATACCTCCTTTGGCCACCACCTCCGGAATCCAAAAGGCGGCCTCCAGGGATACACCTGTCGCCCGAAAGACGCCCAAAGCCACCCCACGGGAGACTGGAGAGGGATTGGGACATCCCCAGGCGATCCAGATTCCACGGCAAACTACACCACCACCAAGAACCTCAACAGAATGGGATGGACCCTGGTACCCTTCCCCCCTACCTAGGAACCAGTAGGCCTGTGGGAAGAATCCCAAAGGCCAAAAAGAGGAAGGGAATAAGGGAAGGATGGGGAGAAGGGGGAAGGAAAAAGGGAGGATGGGATAGGGAAGGGGGGATTGGGGGTTAATTAGGTTCGGTCTGAGGAAGGAAATAAACAGGTTCAATTCCTCAGACCAAGAGCCTTTTCACCATGCCAAGGAGACCCCCTTGAAGAGGCATTATACCATAATGGTCATTTTTGATCTCTTCACTAGCATCAAGGAACCCATGGGATCCCCTATGAAAAAGGCCCCTTACCCCTGGGAGCAAGGATACCCTATATGTATAGCATGCAATATCAACATCTGAACATTAAAACCTACTATTAACAACTGTCAGGAGGTGGAGTATAGTATGCAACATTTCAGAACTGCCAAAACTAGTATTACAAAAATACACTGGTACACAATTTTTGTGATAAATTTATTGGCAACAAATGTGTAAATAAATTTAAATTGTAATTTAGAAGCAACATTGAGTAGATAACCTAGTATCTTTAGTCTGTAAACTAATTGCTCAAAGTAAAAAAAATGGGTTACAGCTTAATTATGCAACATCAGTTTTGATCAAGTTTCATACACTTCATATCTAAAACCACTATTTTACAAATTCAACTTTTTTCCAAAACCTGCTGAGGATCATTACTGCAATTTGTTCCAGTAAAATAAATCTTCATAACCAATGCAGATTGTTACAGTACCTTGTCACTAATGCCACTTTACAGAAATGTTTACCTTTAAGAAGATTTAAAGGCATAAATGCATACAAAGAATGAAGGCACTACAAAAGCAGTTTTAACAGATTTAGACAAATGGCAAAGCCAAAACGTTAACATAAATGTAGTGTCAAACAATGAATGCAGACAATGAGAACCTTCCAGTAAAAGTATAGCAGCCTAGCTTCACCACATGGGACACGTGAAACTTACTAAAAAAATTAGCAGCCAGTGCAATGGACTGGCCCACTTTCACAGAAGCTTTCCCACTCCCATTTCAAAATAAAGGTACAAAAACCATACCCAGAGGAATTTGCTTACAAACACTTTATCTTTCTTACGTTCTTTTAAAGTAGTTATTAGAAGTACACTTAAAGCAAAATGCAAATGCTGGAAAATAGATTATCAAAATTAATGACTAGTGCTCTTGCCAAGAAATTCGGGATTTCAATCTCGTTACCATGTGGAAAACCAGTCCAGTTGGTACAGCTAATTTGTCCCATATAAATCAACTTTTTTTAATTACCTATGCTGGCAATTTAAAGTAATCTATAAATTTCTGAACTTTACTGTTCACATTAAGCAACTTTCAATTACTTTACAAGGTGAACAAAATAATTAAACATTTACTGGAAAAATTATACAACTTCCAGCATGAGATCCTTCCAGTAGTATTAAAATACCATAACTTACTTCAAGCGAACTTTCAAAAACATTTTTAACGAGTTAAAACACTTTCTAAAGAGACCTACTTAGAACTGCAGCTAATGTGTACTGAAATCTAAGTGAATTTTTAAGCCAATGAACAATACAGGATATATTTAACATTAAAACTGCCTATAGGAATTTTTCTTGCACAAATTTTATGCTAAAATTACTTAAACTGCGAATCAATATAATTCAAATGTTTCATAACTATTTACAGCCATAAACTCCCAATAAAACATTCTCTGGGAGGTAAATTTAGGAGCGAATTTCAAGCATCCTGATTTTGTTTTTAAAGATTTAATACCTGTCAAAATTTTCCATTAAATCAGATAATGAAGTGTTCAGAGGTAATGCTATGTCTACTAATTGATTCACACTCTTAACACTTATGGCTTCTATACTTCACTATCAGAGTCAGCACTAAGAATCATGCACTCGTCATCTTCAGTATTTTTTTCTGTTCAAAATGTCTGTACCCAAATAAAACTTAAGGTTACTCTGATTATATTTTTGTCTTTTCTGCTCTGGTGATGCCTAGTTAGTAATTGTGTTTTCCGCACCATTATTCTGTATCTACTATCTCAATATGTAAATCACAAGTTCCTTCTATTCCACATTTTGATATTGTCTTCAGAGAATTTTTTTCCACAGTGTTGCATGCTTCCCGAGATACTGCAACATCAGGCTTATCCTTAACGCTGACATCTTCAGTTACCACTTCATGGAGACACAATAATACCAAAGGCGTCTGGTCAACATTCTTCCGAGGCCGCGACAAGAAGATTGCCAGAGGTATAAAAACACGGGAATTGCTACCACCACATTTGCCAGTGAAACACACCAAATTAGTCCAGTGCTGCAGAAATGCAGTTAATTAAAAATACAGCAATTACAGATTATATATACACATCTAAAAAAAGAGGATCAAATGATAAATGTACATTGCAACTTCACTGTAAACTGCTTTATAAATCTGAATTTTAAAAACCGTGATTTCAACATTGCTTCCATTCCAGAAATTTTCAGGGACAGCACGCAACTAGAAAAAGAGTATAAATTATAGGAGACGAGACCCGAAACCCCTTGACAGGTTAGATCTGGTCATGGATCGTGAACCCAGGTCAAATTAAACACAACCATGAATAAAGCTCCTAGAAATAACAGTAAGTTAAACAAGCTTTACAAGTTAATAAGAATTACCTTTAGACATGCCCGGACATCCCTGCAGGTTTACCGAATATAGCACTGAATTAGCAAGCCCCTATTTCAAGAAAAAGTTGTGGACCAACTCGTTAAAATGGGTTTCAGTGCATGCAACTAGTGCACAGGAGGGCAAAACTCCTGCATAACAAGCGGCTGAAACGAGAAGCCTGGGCTATAAATCATTAACCAGTAGTTTCAAAGTTTTTTTTAACGAGCCAAACACGCAGTCCTGCTCAACCGTTTAAAAACCTTAAAAGTCCTGTGGGCTCACACCACTTCAGAATAACATCAAAGCCAGAACCGTGCCTGCAGAAAATACTACTGCTTATTATTGAGAGGCCTTTCCTCATGCCAGAGAATGCTCAAACAACTTTTGAGGGGAAGGAAGCATCAGCAGTTAGAAAGACTTGCCAGTATATTGTCTATATGGACGCCGTATCACCCAAACTAATTTACAATCATGAAGTAGGACATAGAAAACAGGCTGACGAACCAGAAAGTAGGTACAATGAGAAGCCATAATTTTTAATGGAAACTAGTAGCAGTCTAAACACCACTGAAGTTATCCACTGCCACCTTTAGTCTGACACTCCACCCCCCTTTACCAGACTATTCGGTACACAAGATCGGCCAAACAAGCCCTTACCATTAGGGATACTGTGGATAAAATAAAACTATACTGCCCCGTGGGACTAACACGGGTCACTCTTAGTAATACAAACCAACCCTTCCCTTAAATGATCAGTTACAGAATTTTAAAATCGGTAACAAGACCACCCTGCAGTACAGTCTGCAGACTAAAGAATGCCAAACTTCCACTGTCAAGGCTTTCTCTAGGCTGAAGAAAAGCAAGGTGTGAAGGAGTCTGGCAGAACCCTCCTGGAGGTCACCAGCCAGTTAAACTAAGGAGTCTTGTTGACCTGAACTTGCAGAAACCAAACTGCACAGATTCACTTGACCTTCACTCTGTCCAATCTCCTGTGTGTGGTGCGAATATCAACATTGCAAATGGTGAGAGCACAAGTACTGCAATATTGTGACCTCTTCCATAATCATGTGGAAGGAATTTAATGAAGTGGGAGGAATCTTATTTAAACTCCAATCAGGGATGGATTGGGGTGGGGGGAGAAATTGGATTTTGCCCAGCCACAGAAGCCTCGCCATGTTAGGGTGACGAGACATCAGTGGGGTTCATGTAAAGGTGGGAACAACCTAAATTGGGAAAATACAAATACATACCCTACATTTGGCTAAAGATAAGCATATGCACACATTTTTACCTCGAAAGTAATTTTATTAAATATTGTCAGTGAACAGATCGACTTACAGGCCCATACTGGCAGTAGAGTATGAGAGCGAGTAGAGGCTTGAGGGGCCATGCCCAGGACGCGCCCAACACCAGCACTAAGTCACGAGCCAGCGTCTCCACATTGCAGTCTGGTTAGGGCACGGAATGGTATATAATTAATATGTATAATTACTTTGTGCCCAATCAAATTTATACCACAAGAGGCTTCACTGCATTAGTGACATTCCACATGAAAGTATTTGCTACACCAGAGTCTGGCAAGTTGCAACTTTAAGAGTGTTTCTGCCTAGAAAGAAAATATTTTATGTGGTTATATTTGCTAGTGTTACCAACTAGGGCAATGACAGATTTTTATATCTTTACCAGTTTTGTTAAAGCCTAATTTTTCAATTAAGAGAATCCTCCATTTCTGGTTAATTAAGATTTCGAAACCATCATACATGACTATTTAGATCAGTTGTACATGAAATTCTAACCTCCATGCACACTGCAACCATCTCCAATTTTCCACTTCTTGATCCCGAAGATAACGGAAAAAAAAAATATCGGGTTTGTACCATACTGACAGCCCAACCGCGGGTCTTTACCAACGTCTACAAGAAAAAATTGGCTAAGAATTCCTTAAAAACCTGCACTGCAGTGACGGTAGCGTACCCCCAAACTCCCCCGGGGAAAAAAAGGGGACAGCGACTTATCCTCTTATTCCACTATCGTCAATCATTTATCCCCATCAAGGGGCTTCTATTTCATTGATGTAAAAGGGAAATACGGGCCCCTAGTTTAATTTTAACTTTTAAAAAGGTAATAAAATCCTCCATTTTTCCCGGGTTCACTTTATCTTTAATTTTTTGGTTAAAGACGGGAAACGTAACGAGCAATTCCCCTGTACCTATTTATTACAGAACCAGTTTGCATTTTCATGCTTTTTTGGTACGGGGGAAATTTTTTTAAACCAGTATTTTTTAAATTTAAATGGGTAGTAAACAACTACAAAAGGGGAAACCTTTTTTTAAACATGCTGAGTAAAAGGGCTTCAAAAACTTTTCCATTCCCCAAACATTTAGTAAAATTTCCACAACCCAAAAACCCTTCCCCCCCCTCTCCCATTTTCCAGAGCAAAACCGTTTTTTTTTCCAGAGCTAAAACCCCCGTTTTATCATTTTCCCCCTTTGAATACCTTCATGCAATTTAATTTTGCAAACCCCCTCCATCAAAAAATTTTCCTCCCCCTTCTCTTAAAATTCTATAAAAGCACAATATTAAAATAAAAAAGAACGCTAACCCAAAAAAGGACTATACAGCGCTAAAGGCGGGAAGGAAAGAAAGGGGCATCAGTGGAAAAAGGGAGGAGGGAATAATAGGTTATGGAAAAACAGGGGGGCAGGGAGGGGAAAAAGGGGTAAAGGGCACAAGAGACTGAACTGGGAAAAGGGCTGGGGGGAAAGTGCAAAAAAGTAAGAGTTTGGGGCATAAATCACCCGTTGCCAAAAATAAATGAGAAGTCAGGTTTAAAAGGGAGGGTCCATCAGAAAAAGGGAAGGAAAAAGGGGAGAGTAGTAAAAAACAAGACGACGTTGGAAAAAAAATTTCTGCGTGCTCGTTGATGAGGGGGGCAGCCCTAAAAAATGTGGCAAATCGAACGGGAAACCCTGACACCCCTCAAAAGAGGGAGGGGTTGCCTCCCCTTGAATACCCATGAGTAAGACAGTGGGGCCAATGCAAAAGGGGGGAAGGGGTGGTCCCCCCAACCTGGGCATTTAAGACAAGAAAACGGCCAGTAACCTATCTTGGTTTAATAGAAAAAGTTTGTTACCGAGAAAGAGTTGCCCCAACTTTTGTTCCCAAACCGGGGGGGGCGAAAGTTGGGTTTTGGCAAATTGGGGGGGGCGGGGGGGGGGCAAAAATTTTGCCCCAGAAAAGGAACACCCCCTCGAAAGGAAATTTGGGGGTGGGGTTTGGGAAAAGGGCTGACCGGGCGCAGCAGTGTTTGCCTTCATTGCCGTTTTAGTCGACAAACCCCGGGGGAACCCAACAAAAAACTATCTATGTTTGGTAGAGTTTACCGTACCCCAAATTTGGATGGGAGAACAAGGGGATAAAATGAAACAAATTTTCGTATAGCCTGTAAGCACAAAAGGAGTCAGAACTATTTACAAAGATGAAAAAACGGGCATAGAGGGCGATACGAAAAAAGTGCTCAAGAATGGAAATACCTTTTAAAAGCAGAAAAAAATCAAAGCTGAAGAAAGAAAATTTCCCCCCACGACGCTGCCCCGGGGAAACACGGGCTGCAAAACCAAAGGGCCCGGCCCTGAAATTTTAGACCAAATTCGGTGTACACTGCGGAGGCATGAAAATTGGGGGGGAAAAGGGACCCAAGAAAAAGAGCGGGAAGCCACCTAGGAAAGTTGGCTTGGGAAAAGGGGAGGAGAAAGAACAGATCCGAACATTTGGAAATTCCCAGGGGGGTGGGGGAAAAGTGAGATGCAACATGAACATTTTAAAGTTGGTACTGAAGGGAAGAAAAAAGAGGGGGAATGTAGGCGAAGAAAAAAGGGGACGGAGCAAAAAAGGGGGGGGCGAACGAAAAAGAATGTCTACTAATATGGGTGACCCATTCTAAAAGGGAAAGGGAAAGTTTAATCGTGAGAGCGAACATATAGCGAAGGCAAGGGGCATCAGGGCGATAAAGACAAGGAGGGAAACCTTTTGCTTCTGTAAAAGAGGCTCTCAACGGGGGGGAAGAGCGAAAAGCCCCCAAGGGCACAAACGAAACCCTTTGGTGAGGGATAGAGTTAAGGCTAGAGAGAGTAGCAGAGGGGCCCAAAAAAATCTGGTCCCCATAATCGTTTCGAAAAAAAAAACGGGGGCTGAAGTAGGCGAACCCAAATTTCGACATCACTCCCCCAGAAAGATGAGAAAGGGTTTTTAAAAGGTTTAGCCGGCTGTGAAAATTCCCTTTTCCAAGAGGAAAATTGTGGGGTTTTCCCCCAGAAACCGAGGGTCAAAAGAACCCCCCAAAAAACCTATTTCCATTTTGGGGGAAACGGGAGCCAAGAGATAAAAAAGGATGATCGGGATAACAGAGCGCCCCTATGAAAGAAATTTTGGGGTGAGTTTTGGTACATAAAAATTTTAAAAACCCATGCGTGGGGCCCCAATGGAAACACGGCCCGCCCGCATCCCTGGAGAGAAACTGAAAATAAGGGGACAGTCACCGCCCCCCAAGCAATAGTGAAGTAAACAAAAAGGTGTTTACCAAATATTGGGGGGAAAAAAAGGGGCCAAATAAAATTTTTTGGGCAAGGGAAACGTGTTGTGCTTAAAACACGCCCGAGGACCCCTTCCCAAGTTTGGGACCAAGCCCGGGGAAAAAAACATTATTGACTCGAACACGGAAATGTCTGTTTTTTAAAAAAGTTTTTTAAAGGGGGAAGGGATGGTGATTGCCTAAAGGGCCTAAGGAAGGGGGCCGGGGCCAAAATATTATACCTCCAAGTTGTTCATATGCCTTCTCAAGGTCAAAAAAAATGGAAATAACCGAGTTTTATTCGAAAAAGGCATTACGAACATACTTTCCCCCAAGCGTAGAAAGGGGTCTAGGGAAGAACAACCCTTACGAAACCCCATATTGACTGGGCGGAGAGACTTTTGGCGATCTCTAAAAAAACCAATTAAAAGTGGGATTTACGGGGCTTCCCAAATCACTTTGAAAACTGCACGGTAAGAGCGTTTGGGGAAAGTGGGGGGCATCTTTGTCCTGTATCCCCGGGTTTGGGGAAAGGGGGCCCCAATGGCAAGTTTCCCCACAGCTGGGAAGAACCCTTGGCCCAAAAAGATTGAAGAGGTGTAAGAGGACTAAAAGGGGCCACCCTGCCGATGATCGGAAAGCTGAAGCGTTCCTCCAGTTCTTGAAGTGAAAAAGGCACATTATAGGGGTTCTTTCTGAGAGTAAAAAATCCAAGGGACTAACTCTCTGGCAACTTTGAGGAAAGAAACGGGGGGCATAAGGGAGGCCCTTTGGGGAAATTAGGGACCAAAATGTGCCAAGTTCAAGGGCAACTTCGAGGGGTTTTGCTACATAAACACCAGCGCCCCCCGTAAACGGGACCCGGGGTCGGGAGAGTTTTTCCCATTTCAATTTCCTCACTTTTTTCCCCAGACGCACTCTAGAAAAGCGAGGTGAGGGTGGAAACAGCCCTTCGCCAACAAGGGGCGTTTAGCTTCCCCGGATGAAAACGGCGAGCGACCCGCACGTTTCTGCTGAAAATCAAAAAAAGTCCTAAAGGGGTTCTATGTACCGGTACCTGCCCCATGCAGCACGTTAAAAACGTACTGCCAGCACAAGCGGGAAGACCCACCAAGGAAACGCACTTTTTGAAAACCCCCTGCCTGTTTTTTGGGGGTATAAATGAAAAGCGCGGTAATAAACTGATGTAAAAGAAGATGTTAAGCTCATCAATGGAGGATGAAGAAGGAACCCCACAAAAGCAGTGAGGTGAGAAAAACCCCCTTTTCCCCCGATCAAATTGCCACCCGGGGGGCAAACAAAAGGTGGAAAAAGGGGGAAGGAGAAGAAAAGAATTTCAAAAATAAATCGCTGCATGTAAGTCTGTAAAACCCGGGCCCGGGTAATTCTAGTGCAGGGGGAGGAAGAGCAGACTGATAATCGATTGCAAGAGAGATATGAGTACGAGGATCAAAATGGGGGGGGTACCCGTTTTTAAAACAAGGGGGGGGTGGAGGCGAGAAAAGCCTCCAACTGAATCCACGGATCACAATGAGACCCCCCCCAAAGGAAATGGGGGGCTTTTAAAATCACCAAGAAAACAAAAGTGGTGGTGGAAGGATGAAACAAGAAAGGCAAAGTCGGGGATAGAAAATGCACGGGGGAAGGAAGAGATAAAAAGAACAAATTGTAAACCACTTAAAACAATTTGGATACGGGCTGCAGTGAAATGCAGCGGGGGTATGGACAAATAGTTGCAGTAAGAATATTTTTTGCGTAGAAGAAGGGCACTTTCTTTAAAGGCCCCCATTTTAAAAAAAGGGACCCCGGAAAGAATACAAAAAAAAGCCTGAGATGGGTTTGGGAAAAACACCCGAGTGAAATTTTTGGGGTTCTTTA